CTATATGCTGTATTACAAGAGTCTGGAATGAAAAATACCCTCTAATACACCTATATATTGTATTACAAGAGTCTGGAGTAAAAAAATACCCTCTAATACACGTATATGCTGTATTACAAGAGTCTGGAATGAAAAATACCCTCTAATACACCTATATATTGTATTACAAGAGTCTGGAGTAAAAAAATACCCTCTAATACACGTATATGCTGTATTACAAGAGTCTGGAATGAAAAATACCCTCTAATACACCTATATACTGTATTACAAGAGTCTGGAGTAAAAAAATACCCTCTAATACACGTATATGCTGTATTACAAGAGTCTGGAATGAAAAATACCCTCTAATACACCTATATACTGTACTACAAGAGTCTGGAATGAAAAATACCCTCTAATACACCTATATACTGTACTACAAAAGTCTGGAGTAAAAAATACCCTCTGATACACCTACATACTGTATTACAAGAGTCTGGAATGAAAAATATCCTCTAGTACTCCCAGCTATTGAATAACAGAAGTACAGTGTGAAAACTACGATCTGATATACCTAGGTAATGGCTGCTGAGAAAACACACTATTTACCGTGCCATTTTATGCAACTTGAAATAAGTACAAAAAATGATTTATATATTTAATAAAGTTGAGTACAAATGTTCCAAAAACATCTTTATATTTGTAAAAAAGAGAAACATTTATCACAAACGTTAAAAGTTTTTTTTTTTACTTATAACAATGAAATAGAGTAATTATCAGATTTTTCCTTAAGCCTTTTTTACCCTTATTAAGTGTTTCCCAGCGTCTCTTAAGTTGATCAAGTTCATCTTGAATGTCGATCTGGTCAGTGTCAGTCTTACTAATGAGGGTTTGTCCAAGGTTCTTAATATTGTCAAATTCTTGGCTGTGTTGTGACAAATCATTTTTGAATGCCTGAAAAAAATTCGTTTTATGATATGTGATAATCTCTGTGCTATAAAGATAGAAGGTATAATGATAACTACCAATGGTTCCTTACTGCTGTTCCACAAGACAGTTTGAAAAAAATAAAAATGTAACTAAAAAATATGTTAAAAAATTAATATTGCACGAAGCTGTCCATGAAATTGTTTGGATTGGAACCACTGATGCACACAATATCTTAACAACTTTCATACTACAAAATAAACAACAAAAATATGAGAAAATACATTAGCAAGTACAAGCCTATACTGGTTATGCAAAGTAGTTGTAATGAATAAACACGAACATGTTTACAAAAGGAAAAAGATAAAGAATGATTTACTCTCGGGAGTTTTCTCTTACCTGTATCTCTTTGATTTGTTTGTCTAGCTGGGCACGATGAAAACTGACTGGGGGCAGAGAAAGCAGCTTCAATTCACTCTGATCTAACCAAGGCAGGAAAACCTTGATCGAAGAATGAAACTTGAGGCTTGTGTCCACACATCTCTGGAGACGAGTGTTTCTGGAAGATTTACAACATATTAGTTATCTCTACAGATTCTTCAAACATGTCCAAAAATTTACTTCTAGAACTTCCTGAGTAAACATCATCAATTAAACTGCTGAACAAAATTACTGTTAGTGATCAAACAATCATTAATCAAAATTAAATTGTTGGTTGAAATTACTGGTAGCACATACAATGTACTGAACACCACTATTAGATATTACTGTTAGCACATACAATGTACTGAACACCACTATTAGATATTACTGTTAGCACATACAATGTACTGAACACCACTATTAGATATTACTTTTACTACATACGATGTACTGAACACCACTATTAGATATTACTGTTAGTACATACAATGTACTGAACACCACTATTAGATATTACTGTTAGTACATACAATGTACTGAACACCACTATTAGTATTACTGTTAGCACATACAATGTACTGAACACCACTATTAGATATTACTTTTACTACATACGATGTACTGAACACCACTATTAGATATTACTGTTACTACATACGATGTACTGAACACCACTATTAGATATTACTGTTAGCACATACAATGTACTGAACACCACTATTAGATATTACTGTTAGCACATACGATGTACTGAACACCACTATTAGATATTTACTGTTAGCACATACAATGTACTGAACACCACTATTAGATATAACTGTTAGCACATACAATGTACTGAACACCACTATTAGTGCACAACAGAATGATGATCACTAAACAAGAGTCAGACTGTTGACTGATGATCTATCAGACACAACAGAATGATGATCACTAAACAAGAGTCAGACTGTTGACTGATGATCTATCAGACACAACAGAATGATGATCACTAAACAAGAGTTAGACTGTTGACTGATGATCTATCAGACACAACAGAATGATGATCACTAAACAAGAGTCAGACTGTTGACTGATGATCTATCAGACACAACAGAATGATGATCACTAAACAAGAGTCAGACTGTTGACTGATGATCTATCAGACACAACAGAATGATGATCACTAAAC